ATTAGTTGATTAGCTTGGTTAGCATGGCTAGCATTACTCAAATCAGTCTCTTCTGGGAGCTGTCCTCCTGTCTGCCACTTTGAAACAGCCGAAAATTAGTGTTGATGTTTAAAAATGTCTTTAATTTTATGGTGTTGAACATAAATGCAAACAGCAGCCTCTATGCATTCCCTATGGTGGTGATTCTCAAACGTTTTAGAATAAAAACAGCAATTACTGTTACTGATAATAGACATTACTAAGTTTTTCCACACAAAATGACGTTTTAAAATAGTGCAGCAGCAATTGTACTTTTCAGTTTGATGTGTGTTCATAAAAAAACAACAAAGAAACATTTTCTTTCTCATCCAGAGCACAGACGTTGAAAAATCAGTTTGAAGCCAGACAGATTAACAAACAGGCCGTTAAATTAGAATTACAAGTCAGAAACTCTGAGATGTCTCAACAGCTCCATCCTCTGAAAACAAAATGGTCGCCTTAATTGCATATAAAATTCACCAGCAGCTGCAATAAAAATGACTTTATTTGCACCTCTGATGACATGGATTTTCTTAAAACTGCAACACAACCTCCTCAAGTGAACGCGTCGCTGCAAATTATATACGAACACGTTGTTGTTTTTACTGCGTTGCTACAAGCAGTAACCGTGGTTACAATAAGCAAATCAAGCTGGTTTTTCAGCTTGAAACTTGTGGTTGTTTTTGATTACATTCCCAGCTCAGAGTTCTGACTTAAGAGGTGAAATAAACACGGCATCAGCAGGTTTTAGTTTGAGAACCACAGCGCCGGGGAGAGCAGACACCAATTTGTAATCAGAAATCCCCACTGGCAACATTTCCAAATCCAGCATGTTCTCTGACAGACAGGCTGAAAGCTCAAATTAATAAAACAAACAATAAAACTTCTGACTGATGTCGAGCTTTAGCCAGTTTAATATTTTATCAAATTGAAACAACATTCCTCTTGTGAGTTGACCTTTTATAGCAAACGGCTCATTTTTGCACCCAAAATAGTCGAGCTTGAAAACAACCATAGTGGAGTGAAATGCAAGCACCAGACGCCATGTTTCCATTTTAAACAGCTTCCTGCACCTCTGCGGTTCCTCCATCTACTTTCAAACGCCTCGCTGACACTGACAATAGCTAACTTTGATTATCATTCGGTCAGTGATCACTTCCACACTGAAGAGTGATGCTAGTGAGATCTGTTAGCCCTTAGCTGCATTCGTTGATTGGAAAAATGTTGCATTTCTGAGGTTTTAACAGGCTGGTCACCAGTCAAGTTTGGTAAATATCAAACTCATTTGATTGTGATCACAATTAGGTGAATCGTTTTTTTTTTTGTTTTTTTTTTTGGTGCATCTCTAATTAAGGACATTTCAATGCACTGCTGCCACTCTCCAGCTAAAGCAAACAATTACCCAAATAGTTACATCAGAAAACAAAACAAAAACAATAAAACACAAACAAAAATGAATTTAAATACAGTTTTCTGCATTGTTTCACCATCAGTCCAGGTTGCTCGTTCTCACACCTAAAGCTATTTTGCGGGCTGAAAAATAAGAGCTGCAGTTCAGGCCAGCAGGAGGCGATCTTCTACAGTTATGGCTGCTACAATAGTGAGGTTAGAAGATAAAACAGCTACAGGCAGTCATGGAAGGAAGCTGAAGCAGTTCGTTCCTGCCAGAGTCTGAGTTTTATGCTGCTTTTCTTTTCAAATCCAAAAAAAAAAAAAAAAAACACCCCAGAAGAAACAAGCAGTTTGAATCTCTGTTTTTTCAGTCCCCTTATTTTCCAGTTTTGTTTCCTAAAAGCAGAATTGCCTAAATACAGTACGACTAAGAAGTGAAGATGGAGGATAACGTCCTTACGTAACAGACCTCCCTCAGTGAGCATCGTTACATGTTTCTAAGTAGAAGGCCGCCTGCAGTAATTCAAATATTCATGTGTGTTTTAATTTCAGGCCAACCTTCCTGTCAGTGCCAGGCAGAAAACACACTCAGACCCTGCGACTACATGTAGCTTTACTACCGTTCACATATATTACCGCTGATACTGCTTACTATGCTTTATACACTTTTGGTCATTTTGTCCATCAGACACCACAAAACATGCTATACAGTGTCTGTCTGTCTGTCTTAATTGAAACCTCTTCTGTAAGTGCTACTTAGCAGAGCTTGTCAAGTATTTGAAGCAAGAAAAACAATCATACACACACACGCATACACACACACACACACACCAAGAGAAGCACTCTACAGCAGCCTGTGAAGGTCAGTCTATACTTTTTTTTTTTTTTTTGTCTCTTTTGCATACTTCCTCCCCAGCAGGCAGGACCACACTTGCCTGTGTGTTTACTTTTGCAGCTATCTATACACGATCAAAGAACGTTGTTGGGCATGGAGGCGCTCAGCGGGATTTGCATCATGGGGACCTAACAGGGCTTGTTGACGTTGCACAGCAGCTCAGTGACTTTGATGAGGCGGGCCACTGTGCTCTGCGACTCCTCCTGCAGCCGCTGGTTGTTCTGCCTGAGGCTCTGCACCTCGGCCTGCAGCACCGCCTTGTCCTCTTTCTCCTGAAAAACATCGGCACACAACAGAGAACAGAAGCTGTCGCTCAGATTGCTGTGGCAGGAACGAGAGGTGGGTGGCGACAGGTACAGTGATGGCTCGGAGGAAGCTCGCGGGCGTGCGCAAACAAGAGACGCGACAGTCAAGAGCAGAGACGCACAGCAGCAGCAGTGAGGAGGAATAAACTCGCAATCCCAAAGCGCCAATCAGCCGATCCGATCAGTTCTCTGACGGGAGAGATTTTGTTTTGATTCGAGATACCAGACGAAAACAACCAAGCTTTTGCTGACTTTTACTGTTGCATATTGTTTATTAAATCAGTTCTTTGTGGGCTGACGGTCAGATGAGCAAGCACCTTATCAGTCACAATGTGCACAGGGCTGCAACTAATGATTATTTTCATGATCGCACATTCTCATTGTTATTTTGCATTCACCAAACATCAAGGCTGATTAGTAGCGGACGAGCAAAATCAAACATTTCCGGAGTCCCAGGTGATGTTTGGATTGATTCTGTTGTTGCAAAACAGGGAAAAGCAGCAAATAATCACATTAAGTTAATCATACAAACCTTGTGTGCCCACTGTGTAAAAGGTAAATAGAAACAGAACATCAGTTTAATATGTTATATAAATACGTAATGCTCTAAAATGTCAAAATTGAGACGCAAGATCATTTCAATTCATTTTTAACTTGATGCCAAACCTTTGAAATTAACAGAAAAAAAAAAATCACATCCATTGAACTTCTTCACACATTACAACCATAAATAACAGTTTATGTTCTTGTGGATTTTACGCAGTGTATAAAGAGAACAGGATTTCAAATGTTTCTAAATAAAAGATCAGAAAAGTATGGTATGCATTTGTGAAAAGAAAGAAAAGAAGAAAGAAATCCCACATCATAATGCTGCTATTTCAACTGTAAAACATTTGAGCTGTCGCGTCTACTGTCTTCTACTCTTTAAGTCAAATAAATTTGGCCACTTTTAGATTTTGAACCTAAATGTGTGAGTTTGTGAAAGAGAAATTTACAGCAGTAAGTTGTGTTAACTTTTATTTTAAGAGTTGAATAAACTAGTTTTTAAGTTAAAAAACCTGAAAAACTATTTCCCAGAATGCTTAGCAGCATGTTTTTGTATCCTGAGATGGAAGTGCGTTACATTGATCTGTCTCTTGTGTTGTTAAGGAAAATGTTTATTTTAATGTCCTGTTCACACTAAATGAACTGAATTCTGATGTTTAATAAAATTCATGAAAAGATCAGAAATTTTGTTGATGCAATTTGAAACAAGAATTTAAATTGCTCTAACGTAGAATAAGTAGTTATTTTAATTTTATATTGTGGGTGAAAATAATAGACAAATGTGTGCTGTTTTTTTTCTTGCATATTGTGAAATGATTATTTGATTTGAATTAAGATAAAAGTCACAATTCAAGATTAACTAAAAAAACGTTTAGACAACTCATCTCTTGTTAAATCAAATTCATGAACTTTAATTTCTGAGTTAAAACAAATTAAATTACATTTGCAAGGCAGCAGATGGACTTTCATTTTCAAGTTAAATCAAATTCAAATGTTTTACAGTGCAGTGCGCTTGTCTGGTTTTCCCTAAAGGGAGACGGAAAACCAGCCCTCTAACTGGTTTCTTCCAAAAAGGCCAAAATAATGAAGTGCACAGCAGATCAAGTCAACAGAGTCACCCAACTACTGAGATTTCACACTATTTTACGTTAAAAGTATTTCAGTAAAGATGATTTGTTTGTGTGAAAAGCAATGGAAAAACTGCGCTGTGTTTTGTTTTTCAGCAATAGAATCACATGATTTTTAATTCCTTCCTTATCTCTACTTGTGCTCGATCAATAAGGAGTCCTCCTGATGCTATGTCACTGAGCATGTTGGTCTTAAAATAAAACTTCATGCAGGACATTTCCTACGAGAAAAGTCCAACTTAAACTGGTGATACTTTTGCCAATGCAGCTGAGAATCCATCCTTTGAAAATATCACGTCGCTGCTAATTACTCCTACAAGCTTTTACCAGATTGGCCAAGTCTTTTACCAGTGTCATGAAAATATGCAGTTGGCATCAGGTTTAAAATGAACTCGCACAACTATATATCAAAGTAAAAAAGAAAACGTAATTGTTCATATTTCATTTACAGGAAGCCAAATATTACTGTCATTTTTTTTAAGTGAACTAAATCAGCAGTTCTCCAGGTTTTTTTGAATCTCATTATAATTATTCTTTAGGCTTTTGCTGCTTTTTTCACACATTTTTTTTTTAAATCAGACCTATCACCTGTCCAAAACAACAGGCTGTGCAATGTGTCCCTAAAAATGAGGCAAATAGACAAACGGAGGACAAGAAAGGAAGTGTCAGACATAAAAACAATTTACACCAGGAAGAAAATGCAGCAAAGACCCGACAAGTTTATCATTTACTGAAGACTTCAGCTGATAACTCTTGCTTTGGTTTTAGTATTAGTCAGATTATGCCAGCCAGCTTTGTTAGTTTCCAAGGGTTTAGCTTAACAAATTGTGTAGCTTGTAGCAAAGTTTAGGTAATGTTTCTGTCTTAATGAGGTCAGACTTATGTGTCTGAATTATACCTAATTACACCTAACTTTGGGCATTTAAATAGTCAATACCTAAATTATTATCTACTGTAAAATAAACTCAGAAGAGCAGAGGTTAAACAGAAAATATTCTCATGGGCTGTGACGCCGTCTCATATCTTGCCGTGTTTTGTTAAAGATTGTATTTCACCAAGATTTAGGTAAGAGGAAATAAAGGATTTTTTTAGGTCATCAAGTCCTGATATGTATTTGAAATAATCATATAATTTCCAATAGTGTATAATTGGAATAAAGGGTGTAAAGGTCGCCAAGTTCTGCTGGGTCAGGACAGAGCTCTATGAGTGTCCCTGGAGGTGAGATAAGTATTAGGTGAAAAATAAAACAGAAAGTAGGTCATGCTGTCAGGTTTATGTTCTCTTTCAAGCATCCAGCATCCTGAGGTAAGTAAATCTTCATCAGCAGAAACAGTGTGTTTGCATAGTTTTGTATGAGGTTAAATAATGGCATTATTGGGTTATTGCTGCTTTGTTTGAACTGTAATTGTTCAGATTATATTAGATGAAATCTGAGAGTCGAATTTGTCGCCATGTACAAAAAATCGAGGTAGCCTGGCCATAAGATTGTTTATGCTGTGATGTTTCAAAAGGCTTTGGGAGGTGATATTGGAGATATTTACCTGAACTGAAATTTTACTGGTGATTGTTGGGGAAAAATGTGAAAAAAGTTGTATTGCTCAAACATAATGAAAAGGGAATAATGGTCCATGAAAACATAATGAAATAACAGATGGCTCAGCACTTTTGTCATGTATTTTTTCAAGAATGAAAACTTTTTCTTCATTTTAAATTGTAAAAAGTTGTTAATTGTTTATATCCAGTTTCCAAAATTACGTTTTACACAGCGTGCTTGTTCTCTCTTTCGGAAACAAGGTTGTAAATGAATCAATGATAGTCAAAATTAGACATTAAACTTCCTTTAATGATGTACGTGTTTGAGGAGCTTTTCTGTCATTAGCATTGAGAGGTAAAGAGTCGGTTGATTGTTCAGAAAAATAGCCATTATTTCAGTAAATAGTGAAAATAGTCATAGTTGCAGTCCTCATCAAAGACTTCAAAATAGAATTGAATTGGGAGAAATACCATGCATCATACAGACAAAGACATACACAGAGACAGTATTGGCAAAAATAAATTTTCAACACAAGGGCCACTTATGTTTGGACGACCAAGCAGCTCCATCTGCTGAGTAAGGCCATGTTGTTGTTTTTTTTTTTGTTTTTTTTTGTTCGTTTTAAATTTTTTTAATTTTGTTTTAGTTTGAAAAGTGGACTTTGTGTTGAAATTGAGCTTTTTTTTAAGGCAGCTGGATCTTATGTCCAAAAGAAGCCTTTGAGTTCATCTCATACAGTTTTCTGAGGCATCAACAAGAAAGATCAACAGAGCAGCACAGACTCATGTTTGGTGGAAATGTGCAGGAAAGAAAGTACTGAAAAAAAAACAGCAGGACGTCTCATAAATACATGTAAAGTAGTAGAATACGGGGAAAATTACAAAAATTAGGAACGTTTCTGTACACAAAATAATAAATAAATAAACGTCTTTTTAAAGTGTTTTTTGTTCTTTTTATAATTTAATACATCTCTACAGCGAGTCAGCAGGGGACCTGAAGTGGCTCGTCGACGGCAGGATTTCTAACGGCTGCATCAGCAAACAGAAATCTTCTCGCTCAAGCGACAGAAGCTGAGCAAAGGAAATGTGTTTCTCCTGCCTGCTGACTCTTTTAGTGGAGCTACAAAATACTGTCACAGAGAATAACATTCATAGAAGTCAAAGCACCTTTTGCAGGTCGTCTTGCAGCTTCTTCAGCATGGCCTCCAGCTGCGACACCTTCTCCTCCAGGTGGCCCGGAGAGTCGCTGCAGCAAAAACAAGCGAAGAGCAAACAGCTGAAGGGATTTAGCTTCCCAGCCCACGAAACCCATTAATGAAGGAAGAGAAACTTCCTGTCAGCCGCTACAACAAACGAAGGCAAGGAGACTTCTTAATTTGTTTGATTGGTGCTGCGGTCTGTGGGACTAAGCTGAGGACTTAGCTCCTTTTACCTCTAATGAAAACAGGAACACTTCAGAGGTCAATTTTCATTAATCACCGACGTCTGACAAGGAAAGCCAGTGTGAGTGACTGCTCTCATCCTGAGCTGCGTTTCTGCAAGACTGCAGTCATAAATAATGACTGCGCCCTCCGGAGGAGCAGAATAATAGCACGGTTGTGTTGGTGGGGGACTCAGGTTCACCACGTTTAAAGCTGAAGTACATAACTTTTACATAAAGTTCATAATCATGCAGACGTGATGCCTGTTCTTCTTTAAGAGGAGAATTTTGTTGGAAAATTCTGATTCAATCTGCTGTCCTCTGCAGCACAAACATGAACAAACTGTCCCGTAGATGTAGACACACGAGTCTTAAAGCTAAACGTTAATGACGTTGAGAAAATTAAGAGGTCTTAGGCTGTTGAGAAAATACAGACATGCTGAAGTCCTTCACTCTGTGTGTGTTTTGTCGTGACCCACCTGTCCTTTGAGTCTTTGAGTTTGCCGTCTGTCTGATCAGCTCCACCTTGGGAGGAATCCCCGGCTTTGCGGTCTGAGAAAAACAACATTAAGGACATTATCATCACATTGACAACGTGGAAAAGGCAAGGTAGGGCCATTTTATTTACATGGCACTTTTTCAGCAACAAGGCAATTCAAAGTGCTTTGACCTGAGTTAGAGGAAATACAAACAAAATAAAAGAAAAGCTAAAGAAAATCAAAAAGTACTCCACAATTTGTTGATCTGAGGTAACGAGTAGTTTCCCTAGATATCTAAGTTTGTTCTAATGGTTACACGTTAATTTATAATCACACAGGATTTTATGTAAAAGATCAAAAATTTGTGGGTCACATTTTTAAAAAACAAAAAAATCAGAAAATGTGATGTGGATTTGTGTTCAACCCCTTGTTCCGAAACCCCTAAATAAAATCTTGAACAACCTACTTTCGTCATAAGTGACCTTACTGCTAAATAAAATCCAGTCTGTGTGTAATTTAATCTATGAATAAATGGAAATGTTCCTGTGAAGGACTGTGGGGTTTGCTGGAGAACATGGCTGAACAAACTCAGCAGACAGGTCAGGGAGGAAAACATGGAGAACATTAATGCAGGATTAGATGATGAAAAAATATTCCTAGCTTTTAACATCTACAGAGCTCTGTTCAATCGTTTATCTGAAAATGGGACGAGTATGAAAATCCATGAAGACGTTTGTGTCTATACCTAAAGTGACAGGCTGGACATAGACAGGATTCACCAGAAAAGAAGCAAAGAAACTCGGAAGGAGCTGCAAAAACTCACAGCCCAGGTCGGAAAAATCGATCAACAACTATTAGGCAAGCATTTTATGAATTTGGCCTTTATTAAAGCGTAGCAGTAAAAAAGCCATCGCTGAAACTGCACTGCAGCATAAGCTGCTCTGTTTGCACTTTGCTAATATTAATGCAGCGGACACAGCAAACATATGGAGGAGTTATGTTTGATTAGATGAGACCAAGTCTGAAGTTTATGGACAACCTGCAGAGCAGAAAACTGAACGTCACCCTGAAAACGTTATCATGTTTTTGGACGCTTTTTAATCTGACTGAGCTGGAGGTTTTTGACAAAGAGCAATGAGAAAAAAAAAAAAGAAGAAAACTTTTGGTGTTTTAAGCTGGTAAACATTCCCCCAAAAGTCTTGTGATAATTGTCAATTTTACTCAAAGGGGCTGAATACACATGGACACCACATTTTTAAACCTTATACTAATATGCAGGGTTTCCCCCAGTCTGGCGGGCCACCAGGCTTTATTTGTTGCCCCATCAGGCTTATTTATTTAAGTTTTTTTAAAATGTTAGCATTTTTTAAGACTTTCTAGTTGGTGTTCAGATATTAATTTTCTAATAACACAATTATTAAGTGATATTTTCAAATTTCATGTCAACTTTAAACATTTTTTAACCCAAAAACACGGCGGTGCGCTGGATGAACGACTGCTCTAGCACCCAAACCATCGGGCTTAACAAGTTTTCTGGGGGAAACCTTGAATATGGTTAGCAGAAATTTGAAAACAATTTTTCTTTCAACTTCCACTTAAGTGATACTTTATGATACCCTCATCCAAGTTCACATCATACAATGTTTAAATATGAAGAAATATGAAAAACCTTACAGGGCGTAAATACTTCTTACATATAGTTGCTTTTATTTATGTGAAAGCATGTTGCATTCCCAGTTTAGTTCAGTAATAATGGATGAAATTCTGTTTCTCAGAGTTTCTGGATAACTGAAGCAGGATAATCTGAATCTGAATTGTCATGTTCTCGCTTTGGACTTCATTTCTTTTGGTTCACATCTTTTCCTAGTTATTTACCACATAGCGTGTACTGTATGCTGACTGACCACAAGAGGGCAGCAATAATAAGTGAACAGCACAGGAATGACGCTCTCTGTCTTCATGGTGCATTTAACTTCAGGAATGCTCTTTCAAAAAACATAAAATATAAATTATGAACCGTGCATAACCTCACCTTCTTTGGACAAAGCCTCCAGGATGCTGCGGCAGGCTGTCGCCAGGTCAGCAATGGACTGCCACTCCTCATCTGTCGAATCTGTCGTCTCAGAGAGAACTACAAGAAAAAAAGAAAAAGAAAAAGAGAATAAGAGGTGAAGCTCTATCATCATGATATATGCAGTATTCTGTGTGTGGTGTATATAGGACAGAAATGGGACTGCAGATGTTGCATGCATCTGCGATGCCTCTGGTCTTGCACTGGCAGAAATCGGCCGCTAGGAGGCGGTGTTGCTTTGATGCTGGACTGCAGCTTGATGCCAAATATCCCAAATCAGGAGCAGGGTGTTTTTGAGGCCATGCCTATAAAAGGCTTGATGTAAATGATTAGTGGAAACCAAAACCAAGAAGGCGGAAGTAAGCTTAACTTAATTCAGATTTCTTTCAATTATGTGAGTAAACATTAAAAACTGTTTTGTGTTTTGCCCTAAAAGCCCTACAGTTGTTACACTTCAGCTCTCAAGCACATCTTGAATTTTACAATTGAGCTTAAAGTGGTGTTGACGCATCTGAAAGTCCTGCAGGCTTCCTGTTAGCGGGCGCTCTGCGAAACAATGAGAGGAATCCGAGGAGGTGATGAGCAATCGTGCTCTCATGGGTGCTGAACGAGGATCTCAGCAGAGGCAGAGCAGATGGTTCAGGAAGAAGGGGATCCTTGATTTGGGTGGGGAGCGGGCCCCGCCTGAAACTCCACCCCTCCCACCACCCATATGTCCCCCCTTTTATTCCTGCCCGTGGTGGAGCGGGGCAGCAGAGCAGGGGTGATATTAGATTAGCGGCATAGCGGGCAGCGTGTGTGAAAGAGGAGGAACAAAGAGGACACAGCGAGCACTGCAGGGGGGATAATGAAGAGAGGGATTTAAGGCAGGACGGGACTAAAAAAAGGAATTTAAGGGTCAAATCAGGCAGAGATGATTTGCAAACATGTGTAATCGTTCCATTTTGGCATCGTTTGAGCTGCTGTGCCAGCTGCTGTGTTGTGATAAAGCTTTGTTTTGAACTTATAATCGGGTTCATAGTGTTTCTCAGCACATATTACCTTCTAAATTCACTCAAACTGGACATCCACTTTGCTGGAAACCCCCAAAATATACAGAATAAAGAGAAGGGTTTCCTTATAGATTTCTTTTGTTTTTGCTTTTCTTGTCACACTTGAATGCTTCAGACTTTATCAATTTATCAAACATAAATAATGTGAGTAAAGACAAAGAGCAGGAAATTATTTTATTCATTAAGGGAAAATGGCTAACCAAACCAACCTGGTCCAAACTGAAACGGTAAAGCTTCAGTTTTCAAATCATGAGTTCAGCTGAAAGCTTTGTTAAATTTGACCAGCAGCCCAATTACTACCAGACCTAATGAATGAAGAAAGCATTTAATAGAAGTTATCTGACCACATGCAGTAGATTAATAGCAACACTATCCAAATAATCTCAAGAACAGATGCTTAAAAAAAAGGTTACAGCAGGATTTTTTACAATTCGGGACTCCAGCAAACCCCAATGAGAGTCATAATCCTAAAAAGGAGAAACACTGAAACAGCAGTGAACTTTCAGACAAGTGGATCACCGACCAAAAATACTTCAAGACTGGGTCAAATCCTCATCCAGGAGGTCAAAAATAACCCAAAACAGTGTCTAAAGAACTGCAGCGCTCACTTGAGTCACATGATTCAACAATAAGAAAGTGACTGGCGATAAATGGCGCACATGTTACAGTTCCAAGATGAAAACTGCTGCTGCTTGGCTCGTCTCACATTTGCAAAAAATAAAAAACATCTTGACTTGAGTCCTTAAGCTTTAATATGGCCGCACTAAAACAATCCTGCAGGTTTGTTAATTTGAAACATTTAGGTTTGACTAAAAAAAACAAACACTGCACTGTACTGAACGACCTTCATGGAGTTTGTAGATGATTTCTCAGAAATAAGAAAGCCCTTACTCTTGGTGATGGAGTTATGCAGACTGAGGGCTCGTGAGTTTCTTTCCGCTCGGTCTACACTCGATAGCCGGGAAGATGATAGGGACGAGTCACTCGCTGAAGCTTTGTCCTCGCCAAAGTCAGCGGCCATGAACTAAATCAAGAAGCAGACAGAGGTCAAAGTTTACATCAAACGTGTCGCACAAGCGTCAGGGGAAAACGCAGCTCAGGTGTTGTGGTCGACCTGCTCGTCTTCTGGGGGAACTTTAGGCTTGACGGCCAGGATCAGGTCAGGCGTGGCGTCCCTCAGCTCCCCGACGTTCTCGTAGATGTGGCGTTTCTCCTTCATCATCACGTTGTCGTACACGTGTCTGTCCATCAGGCAGAAATGTAGCAGGAGAATACACAAAAGCAAATCTTTTGATCCAATCCAGTGGTTAAAACCAAACCTAATATCCAGGAGAGCTTAGGTTGTCAAGGATCAAAAATAGCATGCGATAAGTCCGGTCAAATAATTTTGGTTGTGCTTTAAAAGGGTGATAAAAATCTAACTCAATATGAGGAGAATCTAAAATTATCTGCGTGAGTGTTTCCTTTTCCTCCCCAGCAGCTGACAAGTGTGATTAAAGAAATTAAACAGGCTGACACAGATTCTTTGATACTGAAGAGGATGAGAATTAGACCAGAGTGCAGACGACGTAGATAAGTACTTCAGTGAAAACAAAGGTGCTGCTGCGCTATCATCACATTTCACAATACGGCTCCGTATTTTAAAATATCTGCAGCTCATCTAAGCTAACTGCAGGTCCTTAGATGCTTAAATTTGATCTGTTTTATTCGTGGAAAAAACAGTGTTCTGTTTGGGATCAAGGTTTCCCCCAGAAAAGTTGCTAAGCCCGGTGGTTGGGGTGCTCAGCAGTCGTTCATCCAGCGGCCCGTCGAGTTTTTGAGTTAAAAAATGTTTAAAGTTGACAGGAAATTGGAATATATCACTTGATAATCATGTGTTATTAAAAGATTGGAAGATTAATAGTTGAATACCAACTATAAAGTCTTAACGTTTTTAAAAAAACTTAAATAAATAAGCAATGCTTAGCCTGGGGGGGCACAAGTAAAGCCTGGTGGCCCGCCAGGCTTTTGATCCACTGGGGGAAACCCAGTGGTCCTCATGTGTCCAAGTTTCAATTATCTAACCTTTCGTTCAAGCTAAAGAATTGAAGTTTTTGTTTACAGCAAAAAAAAAACAAAAAAAAGACTTGATTACGTTTTAAGCTAAGTAATGATTCAGCAAATGATTGTGTAATGTACTTTGAATTTTTTCTATTTCAGAACAGTAAAAAAATATTTCCAGTTTTACAAAACAAACATGAATCTAGATCCAAGTTCAATTAAATCATAATTGAAAAACTGGTTTAAACAAAGTTTTATCACAATCTGTGGTTGATTTTAAAGCAGCTAAATTAAGCAAACAAATGTACAACACATGTTCTTCTTAGTTTTAGTGAAGCTTACTCATCACAGGTGTCTGTGTAGGACAGCTGCTTCTCCAGAGAAACGCTGCGGGTGAGCTGAGAGATGCTGATCTCTTCGCTCTTATTGGCTGGCTGGTCCTGCAGAGACGTAGCCCTCAGCAAAGGTAAGGCGGGCAGTGCGAGGAGCGGGCCGGGACTCTCCTCGTTTTGCCCCCCGCCGCCGTCCATCTTCAGCTCATCCTCTGCGAGCTGATCTTCCTCCTCCTCGTCGACCCTGTCCGCCTTCAGCTGCTCCTCCTCCACCTTCTGCTCCTGCTCCTCCCTCTCATCTTCCCTCTCATCCACCACCCAGGCCACTCCCGACTTGTCCTCGCCGGACTTGCACTCTGCATCCTTGATGGCTTTCTGATAGAGCTCAGAGAAACTTCTGCAAAGCAATAACAGACTGCGTGAGAACAAAGCCCCCGAGCTTTATTGCATTATGACTTACAAATTGAACAAAACGAAGGCAAAAGCAGAGCATTTCCTGTGAGCCGCATCTTTCTGCCACATAATTGTGGTAATTTATGTTTTGTGCCTCAGAAGGAGTAATGCAGGGTTGAGCACGATTAAATCTCTCCTGCCAGCTTTGTGACGTTATTTGGCGCAGTAAGCAGTAGAGATGTCTGGCTTGATAATGTCTTACTTTATCCCAACAACTCTGTTCACAGCTGTTTCTGCCGTCGCTCCGCTGTCAGTTAAGCAGAAACGTCCTGGGTGCAGTCGGCCAGGCCGTGTCAGTGTGATTAAACATCATTAAGAAGGATTTACTGGTTGCTGGCCAGCTGAATACAGACTGTCATTAGCAGCAGAGAGAGCTGTGACCTATCCCTGACTCTTTTCTTTTTCTGGACCATCTTGTCCCACTAACTCCCTCCAACGCATTTGCTGCCTTGACCATTGCAGTGTGGCCACCTCTTGGGTTCACAGTCTGTCTCTGACGGGTAGAAAGACTTCTGTCCAACCTGCGAGGTTTGCCATTCTCATCCGGTGGGATGACGGTGATGTGGATCTTGTGTGCCGTGCGGAGAAGCCTGCTCCTCTCCTCGGGGCTCAAGTGGACCAGGGAATGTCCGCACAGCCTCACCACGCGAGCCCACAGCTGCAGGCCTCCGCTCTCGGCGTAGCAGAACCTCTGCAGGTCCGTCACGAAGCCCTCCTCGTTCATGAGGAAGCCTGGCTGCCCCACTCCGTCCCGCAGCGGGGTGACCTCCAGCGCCTCGCAGCCCCGCGTCACCAGCTGAAGAACAGCAGGACACGAGTGTGAAAATGCACTATAATGTTTAATGTTCCCATTTTGTCATATTGTAGCCACAAATTAACTCTGGGGGAACTGCAGAAAGCTCCCCAGCACCCTCTCGATGAGCACCACCGACTCTACATGAGCTGTAGCTCATGTAGAAGAGTCTACCAACAAAACAACATCAGTCATGCTTCCTGAAACATGACTGATGTTGTGTTATGTTAATCTAATTTTTTTGCACAAAATCATTTTCATATAGTTAGATTTTAGGTTTTAGCTCCTTTCAGGATGAGCCGGGCTTTTTGTCACTTTAAATCCAAATAAGCAGCTGATGGCCACGACACCCAGTTCAATGTTTACACTCTCATGTGAAAATGGCTGGAAACGGATGCGCAATTATGCAACTGTACATCTTTGAAAAGCAAAAGTGGAGCCTACCGCACAACTAATAAGAATGTAGTAAGTGGTTTCTGGATAGAAAGTCAACAACAAAATACTTATCTTTTCCAGCAGCCATTGTACAACGGTAAAACCAACTGAGCAAAGATCCTGGAGCTACGTAGGGGTTGCTAGGTAACAGTGTAGTGTGACTCAACGATTGGAAGGATTTTTAAACAGCTCATTTTTCAGACACCAAAAAACATTAACTTCCTGCCAAAAAATATCTGGATATTTTTTTAAGAGCTTGGGCTATTCTTATAAACATTTGAGATCCAAATGGAAGTAGAAAACTCTAAAATGTGAAATTTGCATAATAAATTCCTCTTTAAATTGCCATCCATCCATCCATCCATCCATCCATCCATCCATCCATCCATCCATCCATCCATCCATCCATCCATCCATCCATCCATCCATCCATCCATCCAGACTTCCCTCTCCCCAGCCACTTCTTCCAGCTCCTCCAGGGGAACCCCAAGGCGTTCCCAGGCCAGCCGAGAGACATAGTCCCTCCATCGTGTCCTGGGTCTTCCTCGGGGCCTTCTCCCGGTGGGATGTGCCCGGAAAACCTCACCAGGGAGGAGCCCAGGAGGCATCCGTACCAGATGCCCGAGCCACCTCAACTGGCTCCTCTCGACGCCAGTTGAGGTGGCTATGATTAAACTGCTATGATTTCCTTACTGTAGCACCACGTACCTCAAGCCTTTGCACCACTTCTTTTATGTCCTCTGTCTGACTCTCCAACATGCTGATTGACACGGACTCCCCGCGCTCATAGAAGATGTCCAAACACGGCCCCCCGTCCTTCGTTTCTGTCACCGCCTTCCATCCGATGACGTCTCGACAGGAGCAGTTGAACACCACCCTGCGGCTGCCCCTCTCGATGAGCACCACCGACTCCGCCGACACCCCGAGCAGACAGGGGAACTTCTGCTGCTCACCGGCCTCCGAGTCATCTCTGCAGCTGACCATCACAGCCCACACCAGCGCTCCGGCGCTGTGCAGCTCTGCGCCTTTCGCACCCTTCATCTTGTCTTTCCGCTTGCTCCCCAAAGAGAGGAGGGGGAACTTGGTGGAGGAGTCGATGGGGGTAGTGGTCACGTAGTTCTCCGCCAGGTCCTTCAGGTATTCCTGCCGAGTGCGTGTGGCCATGGAGCGAAACTTCTCCGATTTCTCTGCAGCGTTCTCGGCGTTCACCACCTTCGCCAGGAGGTAGTCTCTGAAGGCAGGCGAGCGAGGGAACCGGGCGCCCCTGGGGAACAGGGGCCCAAACAACGGGATGTCTTTGGAGCGTGTCACAGCCACTCTGAAAAGAGAAAGAATGAAAGAAAGAAAGAGAGACCGAGAGAGGGAGAGAGAGAGAAACAAAAGAGTGTGAAATGTTCAGCAGAAACACTCAATCTATGTCCTGTTTGCAGTGTAGCTGTGTAATGCATGCTGCAGCAGCAGCGGAGGAGTGTTTTCTCCTGAGGTGCCTCACACCTTCAGTGATGTGACTATTACACCAATAGTAGCAGCCAACTTAACAGTGACTCCCGGCACGGTGACAAAAAGAGTGTAAATTCTCTCTTTCGCTCAAAATTCACAGTTTTTTGTGTATTATTGATACTTTTAACCAGATATTTATATGAAGAGCATAAAAAGACAGCATTTTCTTTTTTCTGTCTGGCATTAAATTGACTAAACTATTCCAGTTTTAAGGTAGTTAGGATGTTATTTCTACTTGTAACATGTCAAAATACTGTGAGAGATTTTTGCGTTGTTTTGTTTTGTTTTATACCCAAATCTTCTTCATGCAGAGATTTGGTTCCTGAGTGCATTTATAAATTTTGATCTGGCTTTTGGAGTAATGGCTTCCAGCTGAGTGTCCATCCTGTCCATTTTGGCACAAGACTGGCTTCACTGTTGATAAAGACTCTCTCTTACCATGTTGAGCCAGCCAATATTAGCTGATGCCTGTTTTCCATAATGTCACACAAGGAAACGTTGCATTGGGTTTTGCCGTAAAATTAATTGACAGGTGTGACTCCAATTAGTTCAAATGGTGCAAACGAATCGAAATCTTGCAAGTTTTTGATTTGGTAAAGATTACCGTTACACATTTAGAAAACTGTGTAATCTTAAAGAGTGTAAACGTCTATCTTTGAAGAAAGTAGTAAAGATGCTAAAAATATCTTTCATTCTTTAGGCAATGAAGAAATAGAGTTCATTTTGGATAATCTACTGAAACTGAAGCACAACATGTAGCCAGTTCATTCTCCCAGTCTTTAAAAAAAGTTAATCTATAATTATCTTATCCCAGTTGAAGTGTAAAAAGTAAGGATGCACCATGTGTGAGCGTTAAGATGTCTAAAGGCCCATGTTAGTGATTTTTTAATAAATTGTATCAATCTGATAAGGAAAAATGGACCAATATTTACAGCCAATAATTGCTGCCGCTTATGTTCCAAGAGTTTTGGTCATGTGAAAGTGACGCATCGAAGGATTATGGGGCTTTAATCTGAGGTACTGAATGGCAGCAATGTAGTCTGGTTTTTCTTTTAAGTCCTTAAAAGGGTAAGTAAATCAATAAGACAAATAAAATTGGTAAATATCGGTTATCAGTCAAAACAGCGACAATATCGGATATTGCATATCATCTGCCTAACATTTCTATATCAGTGAATCCTTCGTTAAAAGTATTAAAACAGCGTATTCTGCCATTACTCTGCAATAAACTGGTTGTTGACATGTAATCGTTCCACAGAGTTGGATAACAGAAAGCCTCTTTTGTTAGATATCAGAGAATGTCGGCAGGACCAGAACAGCAGGAAGAATCACCTGTAGTAGGCGTGGTCGGTGCCAGGCTCGTGAACCTGAACGATGATGAAGACATGCTGGAAATGTGAGCGGATGGACTTCGGAGTGAAGGGCAGAGCGCCTGGCTCCTGGAACACGATGGTCACGATGTCGTTTCCGATGTGTCGCTTCCTCAGCAGCTGATGAGGCAAAAACCAGGACACAAAGAGTTAAACAAGGTCACCGCACATCACTGGACAATCCTACTTTATTTTCCCAATCAAGCATGTTGACATGATGATGTTTGCTTGGTACAACAACCTGCTGGGTTCCTTTCTCACACTGAACAACACATCTTTAAGGGGATTTCTCCTTTTAGCTTATTACTGCGGCACGGAGTCTCCTTAGCTGACTTATGCAACTTAGGCTGGGATGTAGTTCTCACAGTCTTCACAGATTTTGACTTTAAGTCCACATTGAGACTGATTTCAGCAGATTTTTGTTTTACAAGTGAAAGACTGTAGACGTTTTAATTGTGTTTTACTTCAATTTTTATAGATTTAAAACATAAAACAAGTGCTAGGTCCTTTTTCTGACCTAAAAAATATATATATATATGTATATATATATATATATATATATATATATATATATATACATATATATATATTTTTTTTTTTTTTCTCTCTCTCTCTCTGACTCTCTTTTTGTTTCCCTATTTGTAATATTATTCAGAGAGCCTTAATCCAGTTTACGGGTTATTCTTTCAGCTGAGGAAGTGAATTTGTACTAATTTTGTACTTAGACCTCATAATTCACACACAGTTGGCACAAGACGTTAATACTTTTGTAGGTCTGTTTTAATGATTGATTAAATTAAAAGTTATCTTATCAAAAAGACATAATAAAATAAGAGTTTATGCTTTGAACATTAAGAAACTTAAAAGAAAACTTCAGTTTATTTCTAGATTAGGCTTACTTGCTAAAAACGGGGGATCTGATCAATATGTGTGTTTTTTTTTTATTTATTTTTTTTTAATGATTTTGAATACAAGCCCTCAATCTGTATGAAGATGACATTTCCAGTTCCTTTGTAAATGGCAGGTTTAAACCACAGGCTGCACTCATATCTGAACAGGAAGGAAGGACCGCTGAAACCGATGAAGGTGGGAGTGACGACTGGGGGGGTTTGTCATGTTTGTTTCAGTGAACAGAGGATTTTTCTGAAAGCAAGACAGTCTGAACAGAGAAGTTTAATGAAGGCTGCACAGATACTAATGCAATGTTTCAAACACAAAAAGGAGAAGCATGTGAGAGTAGTTCTGTGAAACATGAAAGACTGGCAGGAAAAAACGATGCTGCAACATGGAAAGGAGGAAGAAAAATACACGTGTGCATCTCCATAAATTACAACATGATTGGAAAGTTTATCTCAAAGTGAAAACTCATGTAGATTTACTACACACAGGTGGATAGATTCAAACATTTATTTCAACAAACTTTGACTATTTTGGCTTACGAAAATCCAAACTTTAGCTTCTACATGATATCTGAATATAACTCAAGATCAATTTAAAACAAAAGCTTTTTAATAGAGATGTCGGACGACTGAAAGTATCTCTAGATGTTTTCCAACCGCACTTTTTTTCCCCTTCCACTTAACTTTCCACTTCCGTGGTTTTCACTCGCTGTGAAGGATGTTGTTGACTACCTGCCGCTTCATGATTATGATTATGTGACATAATCCCTTTGCCTATTATTATCCTAATTTTCTCAACAACTGAATTTCAGGTTTTCATTCACAGTGAGACAAAATCCTCAAAATGATCAGAAACACACATGTGAATTAAACCCATCTAAATTAAATCATATATATGTCATGAAGAAGCACATTAACTCTCGGATCCTCATCTCACCTGCTGCGTGTTGTTGGCCGTGTAGGGCAGCATGGTCGACACATGAAACATGATCTCGTAGTCCTGGTAGCGCGTGTAGAGGGAATGCGTTCCGGTGGAGTCGGCTGCGTTTGCACAGAAACAGAGAAACAGACGCGGAGAGGAATCAGTCACCATCTCCAAGCTGAAAGCACAAACTGTCACGGCCCGGCTGAAATCTGAAGGGATGAAAGCTCGGAGATAATCAGCAGCGATTGCGCCGTTTCTCAGTCATTACTCAGATTACATGTGGCGAGATAGGAGCTACCTCAGGCTTTCAGTAGGACACTGATGCCCTTCGGATACCAGCACTGCGACAAAGTGAGATGCAGCTAATAGATGGAGTTGGGGGGGGGGGGAAGCAGCTCACTCTTGTTATCCAGCTGAGCTCGGTATTTCTCCCAGCCCTTCAGCCGCACCCGCTCTCCGAGCAGATCAAGGAACTCCTCGAACGCCGGGCCGGAGCTCTCGTTGTTGTACATGTCCTCCTCGGAGCTCTGTCCGGCGCGGCAGTACATCACACCGACCTTCCTCTGAAAGTTCAGCTGCACAAAAAGAGAGCGGTGCAAACATTTCAACATGGATTCGTATTTGCTTCTGCGATATGTTAAACCTCGGTCTGGAACTTTTATATCCGGGCAAAATAATGCTAGAAGCTTATTGATGAAATGTACATATATCTGAGCTTTAAAAATGTAAGTTTTAACCCTGTGGTGATCAAAATAAAGTCCATATAACATTTGGCACCAAATTTCAGCATCTAATTTGTTTTGCATTTCATAATTTAAACAAATGAGATTCACACAAGAGGTGTATGTAAACTTATGACCTTGAATGTAGACTGAGACATGACAAGGTTTAGACCAGGGGTGTCCAAACTTTTTTATAACATCCATGGGCAAAAATCCTCAACAAGAGTGTGAAAAAAAAAAGAAATAAAATTCAAAATTAAATTCATTTAACTTTCTACCCGCTCAACAGTAAACATAAAATATTTTTAACTAAGCAAATAAAATAGATATTTTCTGCCTTATTTTAAAAAAAATAAAATAAACAAGGCAGCTACATTACAAATTTATTTTGGGCTCGATTGAAGAAAACTGTAAAAGATTTAATCTATTCTCAGTGATAAAAAAATAATTTAGGTTACTCTTTTTTTGAAAACATTTATTGTATTCAGCCAAGTTTTAATAGTTAAAAGCAGATTTGGATGCTACAAAGTCTGCTTTAGTATTTAATGACCCTATTTACCATAAAATTAAAGGGAAATCTGAAAGCTTTTTTATTAAATCCTTTAGGCTTCAAGGTATATGTGGTCGTTTTTGACAAGCACAACCTGAACTTTGTCAATTTACACTTATTTTTTTTTCTTTTGGATAGTCTGTGACTGCATATTAGACCTTGAGTCACATAAAACCTGAGTTGGAAAATGTTACTTTTTTCCACTGTGAAACCCACAAATATTCACAGCAAATGGTTTTGATAACTTAGAATGACAACATACACTGTGAATTTCTTAAAATATGAATACTTATTGTGTTGTATCTGACATTTTGTGGGAAGATTTTAATTTGTCGATCATATTTTTGTTTTTATTGGGGGGGGGAGGAAAGGTCTCCATCTGCATCAACCACAAATTTTTATCATTTTTGCAGCACAAAAAACGGTCCAGCTCCACAAATGGCCCCGGTTTTGATATTCGATGCTAACTTTTAAAGCTGCGCTGCAGGGTCTGGTATCCCGGATGTGACGTCACTCACCCCCTGCTCGTCCAGCTTGAGCAGCGTGTCCCGGACCTTCGGGGAGTTGGAAGCCAGGCGGAGGCAGTGCAGGTTGAGCTCAGGCATGATGAACTCCAGCAGCCGCTTGGGGGACAGGCCCCTCGGGGTTGTGTGACGGGCGGCCGACGGCACAGACTCCTCCAGGATGGAGCCTCGAAGCGTCTTCATCTGAGCAGCGGATCCAGCAAGTTACTTTTACAACCCCTTAACCAGAAGAGAGAGGTGGGAAAAAGGGGAAAGCTTTTTACCTCTGTGGTGCGGAAGATGATCCTGTAATTGTACTGTGCTCCGCTGGAGCCCTCTTTCTCATCCCGGCGGAAACTGATGGCCACAGGGCCGAGGCGGTCGTCAATCCCAAAGAAGTTCTGGTGTTCTGGAAGAAAATCAGAGAAATTTAAATATCACTTTTATTATGGACAACAAATACGAGTAGGAATGATGACCGAGGACAATATTAATAACTGAAAATTAAGCTCATATCAGCATAAATTAGCAAAAAAAAAAAGTTAAATATGGAAATATGGTAAGAACGTTGTAGCTTAACCCTTCCAGATCGAACGTGACGGCGACAACACAGCCAAATTTGCAGTACCGTAATTCCGCCACACGTTGCGCTATCTGAAAAATTCCAACGGTTTCTGAAAGGAGAGACGTTGCGCTTTCCTGCCAATATCAGGTTATTACGGTAATTTCACTCCCGCCGTTGCAGTGTGAAATTAATCAGAGGGGCGCTCTGCCGTGATACAGTAAACTGCGAAAAATAACTTGTTAAATATTGAAAGTTCCAGTTGTTATGAATAAAATGGCAATATATATTTACTCACAGGACATTTAATGAACTTCATACAATTTAAATAAGCAAAAATATCCAGGCGTAGACTTGAAACTTACAACTCAATTAAATAACATACATTCAAAACTGCAGGCAGTAAAAAAGCACTTAAGACACAAGACTTTGTTAAATGGAAAAAGGGGTAAAACTTTTTATTTTTCACTCATTCTCATTCAGTACTTCCTCATATCATCCAAAGACACTTCTGCTCAAATTGTCTTGAATATAAACTAAATATTTAAACACACAGGCTAATTTTAGCAAGACCTGAGGGAGAGTATGTGCATCATGAATGAACATGGATGATATCAAAGTACTTTATTTATGAGGCTCTCTAAGGAAGAAACAAGAATTATTCATTAAGATGAGTGTACTGTTGTGTTTATCCCAGAAATATCCTGATGCTGCTAAGTGCAAAATTATTCATACCCCTACCAGATTTAGATTTAAAGTTGTGGTGAAAAATAGAGGAACCAACTTTATGGACAGACTAATACGTTTAGGCATGTGGACTTAATCAGGATTATTATAAAACACCAAAAGGTTTGTTGTTAAATAAAAAATATCCTACAGAAAAATGTCAAATGAATCGATCACACAATCACTCAAACAGGCTGAATGGCTAAACCTGAAACAAAATGTAATCACCTTAAATGTCTAATAGTTTATTCTGACTGGAAATAATGTTAACATTTTGGAGTGACCCGGCAGAGAAGCAGCGGAGGAAGCCAAACATTAGGGTGATGGTTAATAGGCCGTCCAATCTCAAGAGAGTTGAACAAAACTGCTGTATATAAATGAAAAAAGATTTTAAAAAATTTCTTTACTCCTGACACTCTGTAAGCACTGATTTTTAATCTTTTGAGACATGGATACTTCATTTTCATTCAGAAATAAACTTCTTGGTTGAATGAAGATAATTTGACATCAAGTTAATTATTTTGTGCCAACTCCACCTCTTTCATCTGTTCCTCATTTTGACTAGTGATACTAAAATTTGCACAGCAAAGCCATTATTGGTACCACTAATACAATGATACTGCATAAAGTATAGCTGGTATGTTTTGTAAAAATATTGCAGTCACTTAATCTCCCACCAAAAATAGGAAAAATCCCATATTATGAAATAATCATTATTAACTCAACCACAGGTTGTCCTGTGAGTATGGTACTGCTGCCATCATCACTTTGCAGGATAAGACTTGTGGGGTTTTTTTGTACATTTTCACATAGGTGGAGAAGAAGAAGAGAGATATTTGACAGTTTCTCTGAACGATCTCTAAAGATCCTCCGGTAACATTTTATTTGTTCACCTCAACCCATTGCTGTGTTGATTTGGCTATAATTTGGATTCTCATGCTGAATCTTTGATTTTCTGGCAAGGTTTTTATTTAAAAGTTTCCCCGTAGCTTTAGGACTCCATGATGACAGGAACTCCAACAAGGTTCCCTGGGCCTTGGAAAGAGATGCACATCCTCCACTGCACTTAACAGCAACCTTGAGGTGTTTGGATGTATATGCTGTTTATAGGTGTAGTTATTCTTATGATAAAAGGGCCAGAGGAGAGTACCTAAAAAACTTACTAAAGTCACAGTTTAACTACTTCAACATATTTTTACCCAAGTAAAAGTAAAAAAAAAAAATAGCCATCCAAGAAATGACTCAAGAATAAAAAAGTATTTGGTAAAAAGTTGACTTAAGTAGTGAGTGACTGATCAAATTACATCATTGGACATATTAAAGTATAGAGTTAAATGGAAATGTTGGTATGTTAAGGACGAAAATGACAATAATTCATCTAAGCAACAAAAAAATAATCAGGCAAAATAAATTTTTTCCAAATAAGTTTTTCTTAGTAAAACTGCTGGTGTCTTATTCTGGTGAATTTTTGGTTAAAACATGTTTGTTTTTCATTTAGTGGGTAGAGAATCCAGAAATTTTACGCAAGCAAAAGTAGAGATACTTCATACTAAAATTACTCAAGTAAAAGTAAAAAGTACAATGCGGTAAAAATATTTCTAAAAGTTAATTTAATTGAGTAAATGTTTGAATAGGACATGAAATGTGTTGTTTTAGGATGCATTTTTTGATGACAGAATAATTAATGAAATTAAAAGTAGTTTTTTTTTCACTATATTTTCCAGATTTTTTCTAAAAAACTATAATTTTTTGCAGACTTCTGCATGTTGTTCTGCTTTTACTGACTCTGAATCCTGACTCAAACCAGAAAACGTAAAGCTCCCTCCCACCACTGTGCAGCGTCTCACTCACCCTTCAGGTAGAAATATTTGCGGTAGTAATGCGCTCCCAGGTCTGCGTGCTCTATGAAGTAGTTGCTCTTCCCCTGCAGCTGGATGTTGCTCTCCCTGGGCTCCTCCAGCACAGACACGGCATCGTTGGGGGTCCGCAGGGTCGAGCAGAGCTCCGTTCTGCAAGCCGACCGCCCCAGGCCCACCTGCTCCTCGCCTCCCGTCTCGTTACGGAAGTGCGGACAGCTGAGCAGCAGCTCGTTATCGTTGCCGTCGCCTTCGTCCAGCAGTGACTGCTCCTGGTCGTCGGCGTTCCCTCCACTGCCCCCGCCTCCCTGTGCTGGTGAGGCAGGAGTGGTCTGGGCCAGGGGGCGGAGCTGGGAGGCAGCCGACGCCCCTGAGGTGATATTCTTCTTGCGACCGATGCTGTCCCTGTTTGTGGCGACCTCTGTGAGGTCGAACAGGATGCTCTGAACATCGTAGTGGGCAAAGTTCCTCACCCATGCGCCGCCTCCCAGGTGGTCGTACGGGCCGGGCTGAGGGATCTGAGGGGGCGTAAGTTTGGACTTTTTACTAAGACCTTCAGGCTTGGGCGGTTTAGCGGGTTTCGGGGAGTCTCCGACAGACCTGGACAGATCTTGGAAGAACCCATCCGGCTCTGGAAGGTTGCCCTCCAGGCCTAAAAGCAGGAAAGGGTCTTTAAAGCGGAGAGCGTTTGGACTCAGGGGGCCGTGGTTCTCCCCGCTCGGCTCCTGGCCTTGAGTTTGTCTCTCCAGCGACGACAGGCTGCCGTACTCCCTGTGCAGATGCACACCTGAGTCTCCCTGAGGCCCCGTGCCCGTTTTCTCACCAGCTGCTCGGATTACTTTCCCTGACGTTTTCCCGGAGGAGTCCAAGTCTCCCAGGGTTACATCACTGTTACTTCTTTGCATGATGTGGCCCCGCCCTACCGACCGCAGATTCAACCCCACGCGGCTCGGAGTGAGGCTGCAGTCTGCATCGGCGCCGTCGCCGGGCCTCCTGGGAGGCCACTCCACCACTCCCGCTTCCCGTTTGGGGTCAAAATTGACGGTGGCGAGGGGCGGGCGCATGTTCTGGCGGCGGAACTTGCGAATGAAGAGGTCGTCTGACTGCATGGTGCCTGAGGAATCAAACTTAATCTGACAATCTTCTCCCTGGAGCTTCCTGCTTAACTCTTCATCCAGGTGTCTGAGATGCTGGTGTGAAAATGGGATGCTGAGTATGAAAATGGAAAATCCAGCTAAGTGAAAGCAACTATTATTTTCTCATTCGCACCACTTAAGATGGACGAACTCTCTCGACCTCTGGGCTCTCATAGGGGCCTCTGTGGGACACCGCTCTTCGTCAATGAGTTCTTGAGTGGGAATGAAGAAGTCGGAAGGGAAACCGCGCTGTTGGTCGCTGGACGGGTCCATCCACGTGTGCAGATGTGCGTTTAGTTTGAGTTAAACATGCGAGGATCATCACTGGAGCCTGTCTCTATGCCCTCTGTGTCGGAGAGGTGCTGCCTTCGTCAAGCGGTCAAACATGGCATCCCCTGGTGTGCACTGCCCAGCACCTGCAGCCGTCATCCACAGACCAGCTGCGTGGAAAAATATAGAAAAAAAAATACTGTTTTAGCTTCAGACTCTTTATTATTAAGATGCAAGAGCAAAACATTTACCACTGGATTTGCAAAAGTGTTTTCACCCCTGAAACTTTTTCACCTTACGTTGCAACCACAAACTTCAACGTGTCTTATTGCGAATTATTTGATCAACCAACACAAAGGAGCACATAATTAAGTGGAAAACAAAACATTTTCTGATAAATGAAAACAATCTGAAAAGTTGTGTGTGTCCCTTATTTCATCTTCCATCTTCAATCTTTGGGGGTTTCTCTTTCCTAACTTTCCCATAGATAGAGGCTGATTTTATCCCTCCTATTCTTTACAAAATAACTTAAGATCGTGGACTGGATGGAGACTGTAAATATACATTTTCAAGTCTTATTACAGATTTTCAATTTGATTTAGATCTAAACTTTGACTTGGTCGTTCTTGCCCATAATCTCTAGCTGCATGTTTGGAGTCGTCGTTCTGCTTTAATGTAAACATCTGATATCGGGTTTGAAAGTCTGAGCCATTTCTTCCTGGTTTGACTTGTGTTTAGCTCCAACTCTATCCCACTCATGATGCTGCCACCACCAAGTTAAACTATGAGGACAATGTGTTTTACAACTTTTTGCATAGTTAGTTATTCACCAGACCTCTTGTTTTGCATGTGGGCAATAGATTTAATCTTAATCTTTAGCTTGTGGTAAACTACAAAGTGGACTCTTTATGGCTTTGTTTAACCGATCACCTCCAGAAAGGAAAGTTTTCCCACCTCAACTGATGTCAACTCTGGGGGAGCTGCAGAGTTACCAGTACTGCTTCTCAAATTAATGATCTCCCTGGAGTTTTCCTGGTATAAACTTCTGCACAGCTTTATCCTGGATCTGTCTATTATAAAAAAATTAAACACTTTTTTTTTTTTTTGGTGTATCATATGCCAGGAAAATACACTGAAATGTGTCAAGTGACGTCACAAATGTGGAAAAAGTTCTCGTGGTGTGAGAACTTTTGCAAGGCATTGACTGTAGAACAAAACGCAGCACGCAAGAGATTCCAGGAAAGGCCTTATAAAAAAGATAAACAAGCACCAGATCCAAACAATACACCAGCAAGCAGCCCTGACATGTGTTTTATTGTGGCGTAATAACTCCGCTCCTCTGTTTTCTCATTATTATTCTTTCCTTTAGTCACTTTCCGCTCCAAAGTTTCCCTAAATAGTTCAAACTTAAAGCTGAGCACATGCTCACAATAGACCTTATTAAAACAGGGGAGGGGGCCCTTCCTGGCTCACTGACAGTCTGCCAGCACACGAGAAAAATAAGTGCAAGCCGCCTCGCTCCACCACATACGCTCACACACACACAAACAAACACGGCTGGCGTCTAACTCACCCACCAAATTCCAAAACGGCTCACACACTCATTCAGATCCACGTCGTTTTTGGTGCTTTTAATAGAGTCGTTTAAAAACCCACAAAAGTGCTACAAGTCATAAAACTGTGAGCTTCCCTTTTTTATAAGTGGAACTAAACTCCGTGGAGGTTTTAATAGCAACTTACCCTAAAAATGGACTGTGCGTTCGGTAGAGATGAGCCTGCTTCTGTCATTATTTGTCACTCGAGCGCCGTCTTTAACCAGACTTGCGTCAAGCAGCTCGAGCTGAAGCCTTTCGTCGCTGTCAGTAAGGTGCAGGGCTTCTTCCTGTCTGACTTTTTCACATGCATCTTCCTCTCGCTTGCAGCCGTACAGAGCAGGTGCAGAGGTGCAGCGCAGCGACCAGCAAAAGCCCGACGCACACGCGTACCCAGTTGCGTCTCTGTCGCCTGACAGGACGGCATATCAGGGAGAAATCTTCTTAAATCACTTTGCAGCTTCTATTTGAGAACTTTTATTTGTTTTAAGAAAGAAGGAAAGTCCATTTAGGGTGGTTAAGTAAACGTATGTCTTCACAAATGTACAAACTTGCACAAATAAACTCTGTGAAAAAAAATTCACAGAGTCAAGAGAGGAAGTCACAAGAAATCTTTGCTTCCCTCCATGACTACTTAAACACTGTATTCATTTCCGCACAGTCAGAGAACGCATTGGCATATGTTTTAATTTTTCAGAGAAAAGCCATTAAAGAAAGATGGACGCTGGATGGATCCCAGTTTCTGGAGGGCAGATTGGTTTCAAAACCAAATCGAGAAATGACGAGAGCAAAGAGGGGGCCGATGTCAGAGGAAATGCACTTGTAAACGCCTTGCTTGATCTCTTCACAAGAAATGAATGACTAACAGTTACGACACAGAGATGAGGCACACATTTCAGCACAACTTTTGGGATGAAAAGGACAGTGTTACACAAATGAAAAGTATTTGGTGTGCATTTCTTCTCGTTCCCTTCTCCCCTGACACACCTATCTAAATAACATCTGGTGCAGCCGACTGTCTGGATTTCTCTGCACTCCGCCTCCACGGGGATCACTTATGGCGCTGCGCATTAAACTCAATACACTCCGCTTCCAGCGCTGACCAGCTTCCCTGTCTCCGCTGAAGAAAAGCATCATCACAGCATGATGATGCCACTACTGCCGCACCACGGGGACGGCTCTCTTTGAACCGAACTCTTAAAACTAGCTTCACTGCCTCGTAAAATTATTCGTCGCCCCTTGTGCTTTTCCTTCATTTTGTCATGTTACAGCCACAGACTTTAGTCTTCTTTAAAAGGATTTAATGATGTCACCAACACAAAATAATTGTCAGATGAGAGTAAAACAATCCAGGATTTTTCAAACTGAAAAGTGTAACACGCATTTCTATTCACCCCCTTTCACTTTGATACCCAAAAATAATATCCGGTGCAACCAACTGCGTGGATTGAACCTATGAATTAGACATTTCCTTTTGAGCTGCTTTTCTGTATATCCTGTATGCCCAGGATATACATTTTAAACATTCAAAACAAAGCTTTAACCATGACAGGTAAAATGAAAATGTGAATTTACTCACATCATCCGCTCTGTAATTTTCGTCAATGAAACACAGAGCTGTAAAAAATAAACTTTCCCGTACTTAGCCTTCTGACTGGCCAGCGTTCGTTCACACAGTGAAAGCTCTGTGCTGCAGCTATATGATGCCAAGGCTTCTTGCATTGAAAACCCGCTCATGTTTCTCACAAGGAGCTTTCAGATGTTTCTAAATAGCACTACCAGTGCAGCAGACTCATACAGTTTCTACCAGATTGTAATGCTATGCTGCAGGATTGTCTGCGTGTTTTCAAGGTGTTGGGAAAATCACCCGGGTCTAAAGGGTTTTTTTTTTTTTTGCAGCAGGTTTTTTTCTTTGTTGCTCAAAAATCCCAGTTTGCCTTCATGTTATTCCAGCACAAAAACAGAAAGTCCAGCGTTGACCAGAAACTACCTACAACAACAGCGCCTGTACTAAAACTTGGAGACCGTCGGCCTCCAACACTCGTGAGCCGCGGTTTGTCTGAAGCGACGCTTCTTTGTGGTTTCTGCTGCGCCACGGATTCAAAATGACCAATCGGGTTCAGAGCTGATGACGTCAGAGTCAGTGACCTCAGCCTGATTTAGCTGGAATCATTACGAATGGCACGGACAAAAGGGAAAGACAATGAAGGTCAGAAATAGATTATAATCTTGTATTTTAGTGACAGAGAAGTTTCTTTGGTTCCACATGTGACAAGTCTGAAGCAGCAGGTATAATTCTGTAAAGTTGTTGAATAAGTTTATGGCTTCAGTAAGTCGCTGATTCAAACCTTTTTTAATTTGCTTGTGTTGACGGATTGGCCGTAAAGCCTCTCTTCAATTTGCCTCCTGGATTTTAGCCAGACGAAGAGATAAAAATATGGGGTTCAAAATCCTTTCAACATTGTTTTTGCCAAATTTCTCTTATGTTTCAACACAAAAATATATTTAAGTCCTGTTTTTACTAAACAAAACTAGATTTTTTAAGGGGGCAAGGTTAAGACAAAATATCTGGGCGAGAGTTAAAATCCAGAGTGAAACAGATGTTTTCACATATTAATATATCCAGATAATTGAGTTTTATCTTCCTTGTTCTTGTTTTTGGATATATCTAGATTCCTTATGGTCTACTTTTATATCCCAGTTTTTAAATTTTTTGTTTCTTTCTAGTTAATACTCACATATTTGAATCTGTAAAGTTCAATTCAGCATGTGTAGCATTAGATTTAAATAACTGGAACCTGGACAAGTCCATATTGTTTACAGACAATCTTCACTTTGTTTTAACCATGCATGTGTTTCTCAGAAACCCAAACGAAACTGAACTGTGTGGTGTAGAGTAGCGATTCTCAGGCCTTGTCCTGGATGTTTTAGATGCGTCTCTACTCCAAAACGCCAGAATTAAACAACTGGATTGCTTCCTTGGTTCAGTCATTAATCTAAAATTTTGTGTTGAAGAGGCAAAACATCAGGGATCAAAGCTGAAACAGAAACAGCTGTAGAGAAAGTGCCTCGTTAATCAACAAACGACAAATCTTTGGAAAAATAAACTCCTTAAGTACATGAAATAAATATGAAAAATTTGGTAAAACCTTTGATTTTATAAACACACCTCACCATTGCTTGTAGACTTAGAATTAAGAAGTCAAATTGCTTTAGAAATCATCAGATAAATCTGCTAGATTAGGTTAGTTCCTGAAACTAATCTAAAAAGTAACTTCATAAGAGAAATCTGGCTACTGTGATACGAGATAATTTGGAATTAAATAATAATAAATTACTTCCCATATATTTAACAAGCAAATCATTCATCTGCTCACCTTCAGTAAGATGTGAGGCCTTCGATCAGATCCTCATTGATCTCGAGCAGCGTTTGACACAAAAATAACTCTTTAACTAACCAGAACTTGTCACTGAACAAGTAGTGTGCCAGCTGTAGAGAAGTTTGAGATATACCTGACCCAGAAGTACAAAGAGGAAGTGAAAGGTTTTGTCACTGCCCCCTTAGGTTTCTGCTCATC